CTAGGAACAAGAAGCTACTAGGAACAAAGGGCATCGCTTCTAGTAACAAGTGCCTTACTAGTAGTAACAAGAAGCTACTAGGGGCTCCTGGCCTTACTACTAGGAACAAGAAGCTACTGTAGTAGTTAAGTTTCAAGGTGTTGCATTGTCGCCATTGCCCTTTTCTGATGTCTCATCCTTTCGGCAGTTTCAACAGGTTTCAACCAAGAAACATGTTGGTGGAGGCCACGCTCCTTGCTTTGGTACCAAAATCCAAAATGCTTTGGACCTCTTGGTAGCTGGAAACCTGAGGCCAAAGGTCTTCAGAACATGGCAGCGGGCCTCTTCCATTCTCTTTTCCTTTCTTTTGTCATTCTTTATCAATTTCTTGCTTTTTCAGTTGCCAATCTCGTTCCATGTTTTTGTAATCTGGACAGAATCGACCCGTTCGTCCAAGAACGAGATTGCCATGTCATGAGTCATGCCCGCACAAATCCATGGAGACTCGTTTCTGGTAAGCGACAGCGTTCGTCGTGAGACCTGCGACGTAGATTCCCAGGGTTGGATGATGTCTGACCTCAGCTCAACAGACTCAGCCCTTGAAACAACTGATCGTTCTGGCATGCACCGCTTTCAGCCCTCAAGTACAAAATGCTGAAGCTTTGTATGCCCTTTGCTACTAGTAGCAATCTTGTCCGCTACCTTCCGCCAAGAAGCTGTGAGCTTCGCAGGCTTCTCATTCATGGGAAGGAGCAAATCTCGAATCTGCTCCTCAAGGGCAGCAAACGAGGACACTCGCCATTGACTCGACTTGGCGAGACAAACCGGAGCATCTCTCATGAAGAAATATAAAGGAAAACAAGAAACAATGATTGAACGGTAACTATTACCGGGACAAAAAATGATAGATCATGCTAGAGCATGTGTGGGTCGCTGGATAGCGAATGCAGTCAGGATTCGTTGTAGATTTCGAGGTACGACACGTGGCACTGCACTTGCTCGGCTTGGGTGTCGATGTGCTCAAGGCGGCTGAAAAGCTCTTGCAAAATACGCCTCTAAGTGAAGAGCGATGGCCTCCACCCTAGTAGCGATGGCCTCCAACCTACCAGCGATTGCCTCCAACCTACTAGCGATGGCCTCCTACCTAATAGCGATGGCCTC